TGACAGCATTATCATGGTCACATATGTAATTCATGTGAAAAACACGTTCTGTATACACCTGATTCTAGATTATCAAGTCATTTCATATATACTAATCAATTGCCGTACATCGTTCAAAAGACACAGAATGGATTTTCGGCATCAAGCAGCACAAACGAGCAGACAACACAGTTCTGATCGCAATTTCTATGGTTTGACATTGAAAGATGTTCTCAAATTGACTTCTTCACTGGTTCTTCCTCTTGTGCTTGGCATCTTCACCGTAATAAGCACCACTAATCAACAAAAAGAAGCCATGAGACAGCATGAAAGAGATGTATTGTTACGGCAGCAAGAATTGGACATTGCAAATGTACAAAATGAGCTTCAGAAACACATGGCAGCTCAACGATATCAACAGGAATTACTTTCCACCTATATCGAGAATATAGGTAAGCTTTTAGAAACACTAAATGGTACACTAGCATCAAGCCATGTCATTTCTGCACTGGTTCGTGCAAAAACATTCGATGCAATAGGACAACTTGATAGTCTACGTATGGCACGTATCATTCGTTTTCTCTATGAAGCTGGACAGCTAAGTAACACAAATCAAAGTAATCCATTGGATATTTCAACAATAGAACTGATTGGCATCGACAGGAGCGCCTTCAAAACTGCAGCCAAAATTGGAATCTTATCCTTGGTTGGTGTCATTTTGCGAGATTGTGAGCTCAACAATACACATGTGCAAGATGTTGACTTTTCATCTACTCAATTCGAAAAAGTTAACTTTTCATCGGCTAATCTCAGCAATGTCCGTTTCTCATTAGCTCGACTCTCCAATGTCAATTTTTCGTTCGCTCGACTTCAAAACGTTGATTTTTCATCCACTGAGCTAGATAATGTGGACTTCTCATTTGCGCGGTTCTACAATGATGTAACGTTCAAATCTAGTACGCTTCAATATTTGCAATTTCACTCTGCTATTCTAGGTAACCAAGAATCTATTCTAAGTAGTTTTACACATATATTTCCCCACTGTACTTTTAGGCTTGACTGATTTCAGCTATGCAAAGATTTTTCAAACAATATTTGAGCAAAGCCACTGCCGTGTCGCGGACTTCAGTCATGTCAGAATATCAGGGTCAACATTTTTACATGCAAGCGCCAAAAGAGCTGTCTTCAAAGATGCTCAAGTGACCAAAGTTGATTTTAATCAAAGCAACCTATGTGAAGCCGATTTTACTAATGCTACAATAGAAGACAGTCAACTATCGAGTGCTCTCTCAATTAGAGACACTGTATTTCCTAATGGAACACGTAGCCATGATTCGAATTTGATCAACGATAGGCAAGTTGGTTGTAACCTATCTCTTATCAATCACTGGAAACTACAAACTGGTGCAGTAACTACAGCCGACACTGGTAATGAGTGTCACTTCTCTTTACTATCCTATGACATGGGTGCAATCATGTTACGACACATCCAAATAGCCAATGTTTGGAATTCTGATCTGTGACCGTTCTCAAAGGTCCTCTTCGAATCACACATGGGAAAAGATGTATCAATACAGCTCACAGCAATGAACAGCGGCGAAGAAATTCTTCTTCAAAGAAATTTGAGTAAGTTTATAAATGCTAGCAATCAACATGACACCTTCTCGTTTTAAAAAGGCTCGATTGGAAGCAGCATCGCAATGGCACTGCATAAAAACATACAAAAACTGGAGATTTTGATTAGATTCAAAGCACAACCTAATAAAACTTTCCTTAACAACAGCTGACTCGATACTATTAAACTATTTGTTGACTACGACACGCAAATCGAATATTCACGAGGTATGTAATCAGTGATTTTCTAAGGATAGGCATCTTCTTCTCGCTCAATCAAATTCATTCTTCTATCCTCACTATTTTGAGTTCTAATAGAGTTTTCGTTTATTTGGGAGAATTTTATCCCGCAAATTTTCCGTACACGCCAAGCGAAACTTTTCCCTTCGCCAAGAAATCCAGAAAATCCTAATCAATTCTCATCAATAGGTTTAGAAAAATAACTAGATACTTCCCTAGCGACATCGATTTTTCGATCGCATGAAAGGAACTCTCTTGGTATGGTCACTTTTGGGAGAGTGGAATATCTTTGGATAAAATATAGAAGCAGTTTGCCAGACTTTTAGAGCTAAAATGATTCATATTGATACATCTGTTGAGCATGAAGTTTTTCCGAAGTGGAATCTCCCAAACCACGAAATCGGCGAAAATTCAAGATCATTTCAATGTATCAAGTCACCAAAATTTTCAAAATAACTCTACCAAATCTAGCTCACCTGATTAGATTGGTGTGAAAAGAGACGTACTATCGAATTAGCATTGCTCTTCCTTCGAGGATCTCCTTACAGTAATCTCCAGGTGTAGTTTTTTATGTCAAATAAATCTTGGTAAAAACTAAAAGTGACATAGATGTAAGAAACGTTACGAAATTCTTTTTTTTTCATAGGAAACTAGGAAAAGGTTTCTGAATTTTTATCTGAGGAAAGAACATTCTCGAAAGTTTTACCTAAGTCCTTTCGAAGAAGACGAATGTCTCCTTCATAGCTCTTTCCTCCACAAGAGAGAGGGGAATCTCTTTGAGAACAACGATTCTGTTTCTTTTTCGTTCATTGTAGTAATTCCTAATATTCCACCCAATGCTCGATGGGCACAGAATGGAGTGACCGTTGCTGGAGGTAATGGAGAAGGCGGTGCCACCAATCGACTCCGGTTGCCCTATGGCCTCTTTGTTGATGATGATCAAACGATGATTATCGCTGACGTTTGGAATCATCGGATCATCCAACGGAAGATGGGTGATACGAATGGACAAGTAGTAGCTGGTGGCAATGGCCGAGGAAATCGATTGGATCAATTGGATGGTCCAACCGATGTATTGATCGACAAAGAGACGCATAGCCTCATTATTTGTGATTGGTGGAATCGACGAGTCGTACGATGGTCTCGTCGTAGTGGTACAACTCAAGGAGAAATCCTCATCGACAACATCTATTGTTACGGATTGGCCATGGATGATCAGAGATATCTCTACATCTCTGACTTCGAAAAATATGAAGTAAGACGATATCAAATAGGAGACAAGAAAGGAACTATCGTGGCTGGTGGTAATGGCAAAGGTGATGGTTTCAATCAACTCAACGCTTCGACCTACGTCTTTGTCGATCGAGAACAGACTGTTTATGTGTCAGACTGTGACAATCATCGTGTGATGAAATGGAATAAACATGCAAAAGAAGGAATTGTCGTTGCTGGGGGTCAAGGCACAGGGAATGATCTGACACAATTGTGGAATCCTAAGGAACTGTTCGTCGATACATTGGGTACTCTCTATGTGGCAGACTCATCGAATGATCGAGTGATGCGTTGGCCTAAAGGAGCGAAACAGGGCACTGTTATTGTAGGTGGAAATGGCAAAGGAAACGGAGCAAATCAGTTCTACCATCCCATTGATTTGTCTTTCGATCATCATGGCAATCTCTATGTCGCCGATACGAAAAATAATCGTGTTCAGCGTTTTTCTATCGAACAGACTCATTACGACGGATCTTTTTCTTTTTTTCTCTCGAATAAATCACGTTGAATTGATGAAATCAATGTCTATTCTATTCACGCGCCCGCGACCAGGAACCACCCTGGTGGAGCCGTGGGGGGTGTAACGCTCATGCACACACGGGGCAGACTCAAATCATTCACATCTCCCCCACTCGAGGAATATGTCAATGATTCTGGATAAGCCCGGTCGTGTGCCACGGACACCAAGACAGTTCCTGGTCGGGCTTTTAGGAACTACCCGGATGTCCTTCATAGAAGACGAAACCCTAACATTCAAGGGACAGAACTCACCCTCCTCAATCTGCCTCTCCCTTATTCTCATCTCAAAAAAAAATTATTTACCATGTTTGACGTTGAATGATGACGTTGTTGATGATAATGATGACGCGATTATATTGCGTACTAAAAAGAAAAGAAAAAAAATTTAATTAATGCTATGTAATGAAAAAGAACGAAATGACTTACTCCATCTGTTATCTTTTTCTTCACGGTTCAATACCTAAAATGAAAAAAAAACAATACATAAAAAAGATCAGAGAAGGACTTACCACTCTCCATATTATCCAAAAGAAAAACAAAAATAAAAAACTGATACCTAGGGTGTGGATTTGGGTGGGCAGAAGAGTCACACCCACACCCACACCTTAGGTTTGAATAAATTCCAGATTAACACCCACACCCCATCCATACCTATACCCATCCACACCCACACTCGCACCCCACACCCACACCCATACTAATCTTCCATTAAATTATCAATCACCACAATCTTTTTCACTATCACCAAAGCTTTCAAAATGCTTCACATCATCGTTATCATTACCGATTGGTATTAGTTGATCTATTTGAATAAACTATGTTGGTTGACAATTGAACACGATAAAGATATAAATTTCGGGTAGGTTATTGATGATTTTTCATATATTCACAATATCACAAAACATCCATCGCGTCAATACATAAGTTTTTTCTTATTTCTTTTATTGTTTTATACACAGTTAACAATAAATTTCACATAGAAAAATTTCTCACAATTTATTCTAAGATTTCTTCAAATTCATAACGAATTTAACTTAAAAAAATTTAATAAGATTCAAAATATATATTATTCGAATGAAATTTGTCGAAAAGTCTTTCTCAACTCGAATAAAGGAAAGTTTGACTTTCAATAATATGAATTCTTTTAGACAAATCAAAATAAATTCATATTGATTGATAAATGAAAGTAATTCGTTCATAAAGTTTTTCTATGGATCTTGATTATCAGTTACAAAACAAAATTCAATCTAACACTTACCGCTTATTAAAATCTATGACATGAGAAATATCGAATGTACACAATTACCAAAAACAAAAAACAAAATTTTTTACACAGTTATCAAAATTTGATTTCTAACTATGCCATCAAGTAAGTTTCAAGCTTTTCCAGTTAGTTTAAGGATTCTATGCTCAATTCTATGACGATTTGAATCGTGAACAGGAAGAAATTTTTCATAAATAGTTAATGCACGTTGATAGTATTCAAGTGCTCGATTTTGCTTATTTTGATTTTCATAACAAAGGCCAATATTATTCAAACTGGAGGCGATGTCTACATGACCTGATGGATAGAATTTTTCACGAATTTTCAATGCTTGTTGATAATAATAGAGAGCTATATCGTACTTTTCTTGATCAAAATGAATATCACCTATGTGTTTGAAGCTATAAGCCATATCAATATGACCCAATGGATAAAATTCTTGTTGAAGTTTGAATGCGCGTCGATGATAATCGAGAGCTTCAGCATATCTTCTTTGATTACAAAGTATACTACCGATGTTGTTGAGGATTCTAGCAACATTGATATAACCAGATGGATAAAATATCTCCTGAATTTTCAATGCTCGTTGGTGATAATCAAGAGCTTCAGCATATTTTCCTTGAATATTGAGAATAACACCAATTTTGCTAAAACTTCCAACAAGATCAATATGACCAGTTGGATAAAGATTCTCTTGAATTTTCAATGCTTGTTGATAATAATAGAGAGCTACATCATACTTTTCTTTACAATACTGAATCTCACCAATATTGTTAAAGGTATGAACAATATCCTCATGACCAATTGGATACAATTTCTGTAGAATTGCCAATACTTTTTGATGATAATTTAGAGCTTCATCGTATTTTCTTTGATTACGAAGGACCATACCAATATTATTGAGATTTGTAGCAATGGTCTCATGACTAGATGGATAAAATTTCTCCTGAATTTTCAATGCTTGCTGAAAATAATCAAATGCTTCATTATACTTTTCTTGATCATATAGAATAGTACCAATGTTATTGAAGCTATAAGCCATTTTCATATGACCAAATGGATAAAGTATCTGTTGAATTTTTAATGCTTGTTGATTATAATCCAGAGCTTCATCATATTTTCGTTGATTACGAAGAATGATACCAATGTAATTGAGGCTTGTAGCAACGTTGATATGAATAGATGAATAAAGTTTCTGTTGAATTTCTAATGCTTGTTTATGATAATCAAGAGCTTGAT